AATTGTGCCAGATTATATGCTCTTCCCAAAATTCATAAAAGTGGTATTCCTTTCCGCCCTATTGTATCAAATTTAGGTACTTCCTCGTATCCATTAGCTAAATATTTAGTTTCTAGATTTTCAACTCTAATAGACAATAACATTTACACCATAAACTATTCAATAGAATTTGTAAAAAAGGTTAAAACATTTCTCCTAGAAATTTACTCATGGTTTCTTTTGATGTAAAATCATTATTCACCAATGTCCCAGTGGAGGGTGCATTAAGATGTCTAGAAACCAGACTTCGCGAATTTCATTTCTCTTGCATCGAAATTGATGAGCTAATTTCTCTCACTCAACTCTGTTTGAAACAAACACATTTTGTTTTCCAAAATAAATATTACAAGCAAACTGAGGGATTAGCCATGGGAAGCCCCCTCAGTCCCATCCTGGCTGATATCTACATGCATTATTATGAATCAAAATTGTTTGAAACTTTAAACTTCCCGGCATGGTTCCGCTACGTAGACGATACTTTTACCCTGTTTGAAGGTAATAAAGATGATTTAAATAGAGTTCTTTCAACAATGAATTCTATTGATCCTGCTATTCAGTTCACTTTTGAACTTGAGACTTGCAATTCTCTTCCGTTTCTCGACATTCTGGTCACACGTAACACATCCAACTTCAGTACTACAGTTTACCGTAAACCTTCATCGGTTTGCCTTCCACCACACTTTAAATCATGTCATCCGACTAAACAAAAGTTAGCTTCATTTTATTCCTATGTTTTCCGTGCTCTTCAAGTTTGCTCCTCCAAACTAGTCCTTGATGAAGAACTAAATTATTTAAAAGCAATAGCTATTGACAGGGGCTTTTCACCCAACATTATTAATCAAGCAGTTAAAAAATTCTCATCTCAACACACTAAAAGCCACATTCTTATTTTAGGAGATTATAAAAATTCTGTTGTCATTCCCTTCTTTCCATCAATTAGCTATAAAGTTGCACATATTTTGCAGAAATTTAACTTTCGGGTTGTTTACTCTCCCATCAATAAAATTCCAACTTCTATACTCAAGGACCCCATTCCGGATATGAATTCCTGGGGTATTTATAGGATTCCTTGCCAGTGTGCGGTTTAATTTACATTGGCCAAACTAAGAGAGCCTTAAAATTTCGCGTCAAAGAACATGAGGCATATGTTAGAAAAAAGGAAACACAGAAGTCTTCTGTTGCTCAACATTGTTGGTCCGAAATCACACTTTCAATTTTTCTGCTGCCAAAATTATTCAAAAAACATCTTCCATTGGAGAACTGGATTTTTCTAGAGGCATTTCACATTCATAAAAATCTTTCTGTTCTAGTTAACGATCCTAATTCCAATCCAAATTTGCCTTCGGCTTTTAGAGAAATTATGTTTTAGTTCTGGTTTTTCGCCAACAGATGGCGCCACTTGCTTATTCTTGTCCAGGCTTTCTTATCTTATCTAAACATTATTTCCTATCTTGTTCATTTGCGGTTTTGCAGCTGAAGATGATGGTTCGGTAAAACCATCGAAACTAGTCCTGTGAAAATTTTGTAAATTAACGCTGATTTTTGTTGTTTGACTTCTGAATTAGTATTTATTCGGCGTGTTATTGTGTCTTAACTGAGAACATAGTTTACACCGCCTCCTCTCTGAATATACTTTTTAACTGTTCTGACATAAGAAAAAAGGACTACTTTGAAGTAACTCATAAATTCCACTTAAGATGACTTATTGCATTGCGCTTCCCCTTTGACTTGTTCTTTAATATCGATGATACCGAACTAATAAAATAAGTAAAATATCAAAATATTACGATAAAAAATAAAGCATTCTGAGAAAGCGAACCTCAATTTCAAATCCATCAGCGCAGTTAATCCTATAACACTCTTAGTAGTATGGAAGAATTCTCCAAACATCTAAAATCCCTTTAAGGATAAAGATAAAATGTGGTAACAAAATTTGTAAAAATTTAGTTTTTGCGCTCTAAATGGATTTTCTTTATCCAATTATAGGTAAATTGGAACACTATAAACCATCAGGATGGAGTAACTTTGGATTTAATGACGCATCTAGATTTTTCTCTTTCGTTTAAGACAAAAATATGATTACTTCTGAACAGAAATATACCTATCAAGTATTTTCTATTATTTAATTGTTTGAAGATATGTCTGATAAAGAAATGCTGTTTCGTAGGATGAGGGAAAAGAAACTCTGAATGAATGCAAGAATATTGTATTTTTATCCCTGATTCTTCCAGTTCAGGGAAGAATAATAATAACAGTTCGTGCCTTTAATAACAGGAGAAATCTTTTTGTGTTTCCTTTTATAACTCTTAGGTCGTATTTTACATTTTAAGGGTCAGAAAAGCATCCAGATTACTCTGAATTATACGTATAATACTATATCCTTTTCTAGTTGCATTGCTATAAATTTCTATAAATAACAATAGTGTTTTATATGTTAATTTGATTTTGTATGTATTTTTAATTCGCTGTGCATTTGTTTCATAAATTTATGTCTTTCTCAGTGTGTTTGCATATCTCTATATCATATATTGTTTTGTACAGGTTTTATTCTGAATCAATTGACACTAGAAATGAAAGTTTAGCTCGAGCAGAACCGGGTATATAAGTTAGATATCCTTTCTTTCCAAATCGCCATTGCTCTGGGACTCTCCGATAGTTTTGCCACTAATTTGGTGATATCTTATGATTTTTTGCCAACTTGGTGACATTTTGAATGCTTCAAGAATACGCATTTTTTATAGCCCTTGGCCTTTTCTGGAAGATTCCTCTTTCTTTCAAAGGACTGATTCCATGTCCCCCTTTTACTCTCACCTGAGCTTTTCTTCCAAAGTTGGAGATGCATACTTCTCCTTATGTACTGGATTTAAATAGCATAAATTAGAACCAGCCAGATGGGTTAAAATTCTTTTTCCGAAAAATATCTACGTTGTTGAGGTTTCTGTTCGGTGGTTATTTATTTAGATTTTGTTGTGCGTCAGCTTCTTGTAATATTTGATATTTCTCGTGAGGGTTGTTTTTAACTGATTATCTAACCTTTATAAACAGCTATGCATCTTATTAAAGTTTCATGTCTTCCTGCTCAACTTACCTAGTTATTTATTAGAAGTCTACTAGTCATAGCTAGGAACAAACTTATTCGTTTCATCCATACTGAGGTCTCAGTTAACCAGTTTAAATAACAATTAAGCAAATCTGAAATATATAGATTAAAGTTATTTATGAAGTCAACTTAGAGATTTTCTAACGGCCTGTGCAAATATGAATAAAAAAATCTTTGTCGCATTGTAATCTGTACGGTTAACCAACTGGTTTTCATTGCGAAAGAAAATCAAGTTTCAAAGAATTGTTTCCGTTATATCCACATGCGACATGCGACGGAGGACGTGGGCACCATCCCTCTACCAATACGGTTAATCGGTATAGCGCCACGTCCACCTTCATATCTTGCCTAGATACATGATACATAAGAACATACGGTGGCTACAGATAGACTGTGCAGAAGATACATATATATTCAGATGCCTAAATACATCTTACGTAGGAACATGGGGTGCATGAGATGTATAAGGGGACATTCATAAGAACATATCTAATGTGACACACATTGGGTGATGTACACATACTTATGAATATAAGATATATAGGAGCAGAATCAGTTACATGTTACAGGATGTTGCGAGATATATGATACAAGATGCTGTTGATACAGATATATGCAGATGCCAAGATACATAATATGAGGTGCAGAGTGAAATAAGTGGCAGGATACATGGTAGAAGGTGCGAAATAAGATGCATGATACAGGGTTATGCGAGATATATGTTACAATATGCAGAAAATACAAATATTGGCAGATGCCAGGATGCATGATACGTAGAACATAAGGTGCGATAGATACATAAGGTGACAAATATAAGGACATGCATAAGGTGACATACACATACTTAAGAAGGTTCAAAATAGGTTACATATTAAAGGATGATACGAGATATATGATAATTATTACACAATGATACCAGATATTTGTTAAAACGTACAGGGTAACATTTTACAACATAGGTTACGTATTGCAGGATGTTGCAAGATATATAATACAAGGTACAGAAGATACTAATATAAGCAGATACCAAGATGCATGATACATAATACATATTAAAGGATAATACGAGATATATGAAACATATTACAGGATGATACGAGATATTTGTTAAACATACAGGGTTACATTTTACAACATAGGTTACGTATTGCAGGATGTTACAAGATATATGATACAAAGTGCAGAAGATATTAATATAGGCAGATACCAAGATCCAAGATACATGATACATGGTGCAGAATATGTTACATGCTACAAGATGACACGAGATTATATATGCAGATGCCGGGATACATGATACTGGATTCAGAATAAGTTACATAACTAAGATTTTGCGAGATATATGATACTAGGTGCTGGAAATACAAATTTATGCTAATGCCAGGATACTTGATACAAGGCGCATGATAAGTTGAATGAATAAGTTACATGATACAGGATAATACGAGATAATATATGCGGATGTCAGAATACATGATACAGGGTGTTGAATAGTTTGCATGATACAGGATGATACGAAATAAATGATATAAGGTACAGAAGATATAAATATATGCAGATACAGATAATGCTAATTCCATTGTACAGTTCAGTTAGTTAACATAATACAGATAATTGGCATAATACAGTTTCGTTAAATAATGCTTGTATATACATGCAATAGGACTATCAGTGTTGTACACACATTCAATATTATTCAAAGGTATTAGATACTGGTGCCAGTCACTAAATCGCTATTTGTCTATTGTGGCAGTCTGTGAGGTTGGCTAAGTTTGGCACAGATCCATATTTAGTTCTGCCAGTTTCTCCATTAGGAGCCCGATTTTTCTGACCAGGTGCCTTTGCTTTATTAAAAACTTACAGAAGGCCTGTCGATTTGTGGACGGAAAGTTGACGTGAAGCTCTTCTGTAAGGGGACAGGATGTTATGTAGTGCTCCGGAGAGCCAGTCTGTCCACAGGTGCACTGACTGGTATGGCTTATGCCGAATCTGTTGAAATATTCTGGAAATGGTCCATGACCCGTAATGTACCTGACCAGTTGCGTGTTGGCAATGTTCCTGGTGGTATCCACGTAGCTGATGTGGTAATGAGCCCGTCTCCCAGTTTCGCTATTGTCCCATGTCTGCTGCCATAGCCCAATTGCCTTTAAACGCATAGTCCTCTTCAGGAATGAGACAGGCCATGGGATGTCAATTTGTAAATCGGTCTGTCCTGTAGCTGCTTCTTTGGCGAGATGGTCTGCTAATTCATTACCGTGGTAGCCGGCATGCGCTTTTATCCATTCCAATTTGGTACGGAGAGATGAATTTTTCCACAGGTCTTCTTGGATACCTTGTATTATGCCGGAAGGATGGTCTGGATTTCCTATTGCATACAGGGATGAGAGACTGTCGGTTTTGATAGTAGCGTTGCGGATGTTGTGGGATTGCAAGTAGCGAATTGCTTGGGCAATCGCCACTGCTTATTCATGAAATACGCTATTATTTTGCCGCAGCTGTCCCTTCCATTGGTCTTTTATTGTACCTTGTTGCATAACTACAAACGCACTTCCCACTTTTTCGTCAATTTTCGAACCATCCGTGTAGATGGTGTGCTGTGCAGGATGGTGAGTCGTAGTGGGATTGATGGTAATATTTACTCCCGTGCCTTTGACCGCTGGATGGACACTGAACTGGCAGCTGTTGGTTTCGTAATCCTCCGGATGGTAATTGACTTCATCAAAGGAAACTGGCCGTTTCAGTTGCAATACGAATTGTCTGGCTGCCTCCTCTTTGACACGAATGTGTAGAGGAAGGAGGCCAGCGAGCACGTTAATGGCGTCTGAGGAGGTCGTACGGTAAGCTCTGGTGATACCCAATGCAAAGGGTCTTTGTATGGTGTAAAGGTGTTTTACTTTCCTACTTTGCATTGGGTGAGCCCAAACAGCAGCTGCGTAAGTAACATATATCCACAGAAGATCTGTTATATCCACAGAAGTCATCAAGAAGTTGTTGGCGAAATTTTTACTCTTGTATGGATGAAACGAATAAGTTTTCAAAACACGAATCAAACGGTCTTGTCTTTGAAAGCAGACTTGCTTAAAATAGTCGATCATTTCTGCTGAATTAAGAGCTTTCATGTATGATTTAATTTAACTAATGGTAATTTAAACATATTGCGCTTACAGATATTTGCAGTTTTCCAAAATAATATTAACGAACACTTTGAAGGTGTTTCTTCTTTGTATTTAGTTATTTGAAAGGAAATATATTGTATATGTGCATAATTATCCACTTAGAAGGTAATTAAACTTGACGCGTAATAAATTATAATTAGAAATTTATTTGAACATGTAAATTTCAGTTGCCACTATTAAACAGAAAAAATGATATTCGTATGATAATACGTCAGTATTATGCATTTTGTAGCAAACCAAAATATTTAAAATGCACCCGGTATTTGTTCTTATACTTCCGGTAAGCCCAGTTTTCTAATAAATAAAATTCCTTATGTTCAGGGTCTCAAATGGGAAGATTTAATATGGTCCACCTTTTCGAAATTTGTTTTGCTAGTATTGGAAACCAATGCTTGTAATCACGTTTTGTTCTCATAACAGCAACATTTATGAGCCAGTTTGCTATATTCCTTCTCAGTTCTACTAAAACTTTTAAATCCTACAGACTGAAAAGTGCCTATGCATTACAGACTGTTAATATTTTAAGCATTAAAGCTATGAATTACAGAGGAAGTATCTAAACCTAAACAAATTAAAAACTAAATCTAGCTATCAAAAGAGTGCTCCTATCCCATTGAGTTACTTTCACTTGTTTTCAGCCAACTTTACAATGACTTCAACCAACAGACTTTCAGTTGTCTGTCTATTTGTAGTGTCCAAAGTAGCTAATTGCTAAAACATATTCAGCACTTACGTATTAAATGATACTGGCATGGCAACACTTTCATTTTAAACTTCCATGAACCGAATCATATCCCTCATACTTCTCTTTTTCTTTCACAAGTGCAGACTTTTAATAAAAAAGAACACAAATGGATGGAAATTTCTTCATAATCATACATTTCAATAGTTACGAATAGTTTCATTTAAAAGAGAAGTAAAAATATTGTGTTTATATGTTATTGCAGATTTCTTTTATTTGCCAAATTATAAACATTGTAAGAAGGATAAAAGAAATTTTCATAAGCATATGAGTTTCAGTGTCTATGTCTAAGATTCATGAAAATGTTTACGCTTTACTTTTACTACCAGTCTATTTTATTCAAAAAGATTGGTTTGTTACATCATCAAAATTTAGTTTCATTTTCAAGTTCTTTTCAGTCGCCAAAATACCAATATATATTAATTTTGATTTTGTAATCACTTCTTTTTCATCCTCGAGAGAGCAGAAAAATATCTGAGCTAACAATTTATAGCAAGGGTACACAAATAAATTTTTAATGTCTTATAATGATATAAATATTGTAGATTTTTTAATATTAAAAATTTGTTAAGTCCACAGAAGGGGCAGGATATCATATTGAAAAGGCTTCCTCCTAAAAATAATATTTTCAAATGAATGAATTTAAATGCAAATGACTGCTTTTCAGTGTAGCTTGACATAAACGTTTGAAGAGGTATTTTAATTATGCTAATATAATTAAATTTACTATTAAAAATTGTTTAATTAGGATTAAATATAAAAATCTGTTACAAAACTCAGTGTGGACTATTGCGTTTTTATGTATGTCAATAATTTGTAGAGTTCCTCACTCTTTTTGTCTAAAGTAAATGACGAGGAAGCTAGTGAACTTTTAAGCTACTTATGACTGAGTTCAAATAACTAAAGATATAGACTCAAGAAGGCTTAACTACCCTTTATTTCACTCGAAATACGTAGAGCAGTTAGCCCCCTTCTCGGGCTTATAACAAAGCCTCCACTTGGGCTTAAACGCAGAATAAGAAATAAAAAACTAAACTATAACTAAGAGACTGAGTCGAATCTAATACAAAATCTAACGTAGTTGGCCTCAAATTTAAACTATTAGGGGAATATCAAAGGGCACGTAATATACGGCCGAGCGTAACAGCTTCAAGAGAGATTTAGCCCGAAGGCAAACACGCGCTACTCAGGATTTCTAGTTCTCTCTAACGATGTAAGTTGAACCTTCCTTAAATAATAATTCTAACTCATTTGCATTCAACGCAATTCTAAACACTCATTCTGGTACGGAGTTGTAAGTGGAAACAAGAATTGAGAGGAAAGTGAATTTAAAATTAAAATAAATGTTATAAAATTAAAATATATCTTACAAACTTATTGAATATCTTATTTAGAATTCGGAAAAAGATATCCATGATTTCGTTTTCACCATCATCACTCAAAGATTTTCAAGAGACTGTTCTTTTTATTACTGTGCGTTGAGAGGAAGGCCTCTTCCCTGCTGAATGAATTACTTGAGGAACAAGCTTCCCCGTAATTTACTAAAACCATTAAATATATTTTTCATTCCATTTACAAATATTTCTACTTTAATGTAATAATGCAACATGTAATACCTATACACAAACAGTTATGTATGTTAATCTAGGCTAATGTCATAAATGAATGATTCTAATTAACAGCAGGCTATTAACTGCTAAATTATGAAGTGGTTAAAAACTAACTCTGCTCAGATGTGAATATGCCAGAATGCCGACGCGCTTAATTTCGCGTGATCTGATGATCAATTGTATATGGCTGAAATAACAAGGCAGACATTTACTAGTCAGCTATCGCCAATAAAAACTCGATAATGCGATAAATATCAGCTAACAATTATTTACACGAGAAAATAGGACCGCCAAATCTAACGTTGTCAGCATTAATTGACATTATAACTACAGATCTTATAAAAATTTAATAAAATAAAATTAAAATCTCTTTTCCAATTGTTCCACAGTCGAAACGATATTCTGAAATTTATAAATACATTTTACAAACAATTATATTTTTATAAAATTCTAAGCAGATCTATGCAAACCCGAAATCAGGAAAAATATTAGGGAAGACAGATTTTATATTTTTTCGTAACAAAATATTCGCTAGTCAGAAAATTCATAGAGGCAAAGAAAATGATATATTGGAATTGTCTTTTTGTAACTTAGAACATCTCTGGATCTTTTGGCTTACACGTCATGCGTTTGATTTATATATTGAAGAAAGACTATAAGTTGTTCAGAACTAATCAATCATCTTTTCGTTGAACATTTAATCATTTTCCAGTTTCTTGACCACGAACTCCGCTCTTCTTATTTCAAATTTCTTATCTGATAAAAACAGAGTGGCAAATTTGATATATGGAAGAATTTTTGTTTGTTTCTTATTTAGGAAGGACAAACCTGACTTAAATACGATGTTACGGTTTTTTTATGGTAATATTTAAGAAATAGGAAGAACAATATTAACTAAATAACTTTGTTTTATAACAGTATTATATTACATCCTGTATTATATAATATTTTAGTTGTTATATTGTAATATTACATTGTATATTTTATGAAAGCCCTTTTATAAAAGTAAACTGATTTGGGAAAGATTAGTGGAAGCCGAAAGGCAAATGTAAAGCGTAAAAGGCTCGATAATATAAAATTGAATTTTGTATAAACTAGAGTCGAAAATAAGACTCAAGTAATTTTTTTAAGTTCGAAATTTTTTTAATGAAATATGTAAAGAATTAATGGAATATTCTGAAGTGAGTATTGATGTGATTCTGTGTAGTGAAATATCTAAATGAAAAGGCAGCATGTATTTTAAATAATCGTAGTGTACATTATGCAGTAAATGGTTATACATACATTAAAGTTAATTTAAAAATACTTACAGTATTTTTAAATTGTTAATCCAGAAGGCCTTGGATATTGCCTGAAAGTACATACAACAGAGTTGCAATGAAGAAAAATAAATTTCTTTAGCTTCATAATAATAAATAATTACCTATTTACTACCTGATAATAAATTTCATTATCTATTTAAACGTGTTGTTAATGTTTAACTGTTAAAATTGAGCACACAGTTTTGAATTTCTATTAAAAACGTATGAGCAGAACACAAAGCTCATTATTTAATTGTTTTTACATCATATTTAAGAATTTTTATAATTCATTTCATCATTTTCCTCTCAGAAAAAAAAAAAAAAAAAAAAAAAAAAAAAAAAAAACGTTCTAACCTAATTAAATTGAAAGATCTATGAAAAATTATAACATTACAAAATTAAAATTGAGTTTGCTGAGTTATGAGTTTGTGACCTAAGAATTTATCTTCACGTTCCAAGTAGTTCACTGGGACCAAATATGACCGAGTTATACTCGGGTTCAAACGCAGGCGAACGTGTAGGGAGTTTACATTTTTTTCAGGTGTAAGATGAATACGTGCTAGTTTTCCTTAAATTTCCTGAAACAATCAGTCGCTTTCCTTGAGCATATAGCTCTCCATTGCTTTGCCATTATTTACATAATCATAGCAGCTCACTATTGTTTTTTTTTTTATATATATCTTCGTTCATTTCTTATCGATAGTTTATTTAAGCCGTGCTTCCTGTATTAGGAGAGGCGGCCGGAAATTATTATACCCTTATTAATTTTAATGTTATAGAATAAAAAGTTGTTAATCATATATAATACATACATTTTATATACTGATTCTCTGAAACATGAACTAATTGTTTACGCACTAACCGTTACTATCTTAAAAATTTTGTTTAAAATAATAATATTAGAGCAATGCATCAAAATGGGATTAAATCATAATTAATTCAGGAATGGAGTTTTAGAACTGTTATTTATTAATTAATTATAAAATGGGTCTTATATTTAATACAGCAAATTATAACCGAGACAGAAATTTATTAAAAATTTCTATGTGCACATATATCTAGTAAAAGCTATAACTGTGAACAACGGAGTCTGTTGTTCTTCAGATCAAACTTTCATTAATTAAGTGCTTAGTTAATCATTAAGCAATACACGTAAAATTTAAAAATAAATATGTTTTCTTATATAAAGAAATATGAGACATTTTTGGTTTTAAGATCTTCTTTTTCAATTATAATTAAATATAAAATACTATCTTATTTATATTTTCACAAACTGCACGATGAAAGGAA